AATTGACCATGCAAGAACGATCACAGTTTGCTGGAAATTCAGTCTTGCTGTCTCATTGTCTTACTATACTTTTCTCTCAATTCTCTGAAATTGTTCTCTTACTTGGATGACTGAACTTTCTTTCCTTTCTTTGATGTCACTGTAGGGATCAAATCAGGGTCTCTGAAAATGAACTTACGAAGTCTTGACCCCGATACCATGTCGTGAACCCTGGAACCATCCATCTCTGAAATCTCATAGACTTTGCCCTCTGCTTCTCCTGTGATTCTGTAAGGACCAAGCCATCTGGGCTCCAACCTTTTAGTCCATTGTGTCTCGAGAGAACTGTCAAACAGAAGGACAACATTTCCAACTTTCAGTTTCTCTTTTCTTTTATATATCTTTTCTTGTTCCATCTCTCTTGATCTGATAATCTGCTGGATGTCATTCTCTCTGCAGCATCCATCACTGTCTGATCAACTTCTGATATTTGTCTCATTCTGATCTAGAGTAACTCTGAAATATAATAGTCTTTGTCACTTTCTTGACTCGACCATGTCTTGACTATGCTCTCAATAAGCAACGTAGCAAATCGGCCATGCCACTGAGTAAATGGAGCATAGCCAGTAGTCATTTTGACTGTGATGTTGTCACCATATACCGCGACTCTTAATACTTTTGGCCAGTTAGTGAGATTTCCTTCACACCACTTGGCCAATGAGTCTTTCAAAGTCTTGTGACCCTTTCAACATGTGCATTTGCTTGAGGATGATAAGTAGTCACATATCGAATTCTGACACCCAATCTGAGAGTGGTTCTTCTTACAATCTCATTTCTGAACTCTGATCCTTTGTCTGAGACAAACTCTCTGATAAAAGGATACCTGAGATAGACTTCTTCTATCCAGTCAGCCATTTGCTCGGCTGTCTTCCTTTTCAGAGTTTTTGCCTCAACATATCCAGAGAAATTATCTCTCATGTTCAATATAATATATCATCTCACCCTTGCCTAATGACATGGTGATGAAATCTAAATGAACCCTGCTGTTTGGCTCTACCAAAATAGTAGGGAATAAAGGTTCAATCATTCTTGTGGTAGACCTCTTCTTACATAACACACATGATTTACAAAATCTGAAAATCATGTCTCTCATGCCAGGCCAGAAGTAGAGCTTGACAGTCTTAGAGTAGGTTGCCTTAGCAGCTCTGTGGCCACCTGCAACCCCCTCATGTAAAGCAACAATTATCTCTAACTGTCTCTCTTTACCACAAACCACTCTCAGTGGAGGCAATCCTCTCTTACCATCCACAAAGAGATGTCCTCTCTTTAATCTGAATTTATTTCTTGAATTTTTACAATAATATTCATTTTAGTTGTTCCTTTTCCATCTTCTTACCAATCTCTTGACAACTTTCATCGTATTCTTCAGAAAAGAAAAATATCTCTTCCTCCTTCTTTTCACCTTCTTCTTCTTATTTTGAACCAGAGTTTTCCCCCATCTCATGAGCAGACACAACTGCCGCGTTGGCTTTAGCATACCAATAATTTGGCTCATCATCTTCTTCTTTCCCAAGAATTGACTCATAAACATAGGCATTAGGGACCTCTCCCCAGCTGTCTCTCTCTTCAGGCCACAGACTCCACTTATAGGAGCGTGGTACTTCATAATCTTCATCATCCTTTTCATTCAAAAAATCATCAATATAGGTTGACTCTTCAATCGTCCCGCTTACATCTTCTTTTTCATCCTTTCTCCATTCAATCCTGCTCAAGCCATCTGCTTTGTTCTTTTCAGTAGGAATCTTTTTCAACTTAAAATCAAAAGTCCAGATGAAGACAATCCACCTGCTGACGGTTGGATCTACTTGTTGGTTCTTCTTTATGACACCAATCACAGAAGATGCATTAGTCCTCAAGATGAATCTCCTCCCTAGTACATAGTGCCTGAAACACCTGAGGCTATGGATGATTGCCAACAACTCTTTTCTGAATTGGGTATAACCTCTTTCTGTGGAATTAAGAGTCTTTCTCTCAAATCTCAGAGGCCTCTCTTTCCCATTTTCATCTTTCTGAATGAGCACACCACCCAGAGCAACTGGTCCTCCATCAGCCTCAATGATGAAAGGCCTCCCTTCCTCATCATCATAAAAAGACACTCTCAACACTACATCCTCATCTTTTAGTTTCTCCTATAAAGTTTCTGCAACGGCTTGTCTTTTATCATTCCATGCTAAATTAGCCCATTGCCTTACCATCTCCCTCAGAGGCTCTGCAAGGGTAGCAAAATGAGGAATGAAAATCCTCCAGAATCCACAGACGCCCAAGAAGCTTCTGACATTTGTCACTCTCTTGAGTGACAGGGACCAGTTCAAGATCTTGTCTATCTTCTTGGGGTTAGGACTCCTACACTTAGAGAAACATCTAAAGCCCAAGATGATTACCTCTGGCTGAAAGAGAAGGGACTTTGGTTCACTGGCAATCAGGTTATATTTATGAAGTCTCTCTAGGACCATATTTACTCCTTCAGTGTGTTCCCAGACAAACTTCCTGACTCCACCTGCGACCAAAGTCTCGTCCCTTACCAGGGGTCCTTTCACAGGATTGTCGTCAATATAGGGGCTGGTTATTTCAGTAGAGATATCCTGCATGACTTGGATCATATCCCTTTGAACCACTGTCACGCCATTAGTCCAACCCTGAGGTGCCACGCATATGTGAATGAGCCCTCTTGGCGTGTGCATGACAGTCAATGACCAGCTAGTGGGATCAATGGGAAACTGATTATAGTCAGAATACAAATCAACTAGGGAATAAATGCATCGACCAGCAAAGGATTCAGAGAGGAGATCGGCATTAGGAAGACTACCTGCGTCACGTACTGTCACAGAGTTTGTATCCATCTCAATCCACCCCCTGGTTTCCAAAAGCAAAACCTGTGGTTAGCATACGGTCCATCAGCAGGTTCAACAACATTAGATGCAATCTTCTTGTCAAGATATTTTACAACCTCTGCTTCTTCTTTCAGGGCATACTTGGTCGGCCTATCATTCCATTGAACATGATCAACTGTCTAAATTTTGGCCATTTTGATCATATCCACATCCAACCGCCCTCTCTCTTCATCATTAAAGGAGAATGCACCTGAGAACTCCTGACACATTTTGAAGATATATTCTTTCTCTTTAGGCAGGATAAACTGATTCGAGCCTATCTTCATTGTGCCGAATCTCTCTTTGGTGACCTTATTCCCCAATTTTGCAGATTCTCTTAATGCTTTAATAATTTTCCTCTCTCTTTTCAATGCTTCATCATAATCATTTTCTATTAGGACTGCCACCGGGTTTTTCTTCATTCTCTTGAGCTTGTACTTTCTCTTTGACCCAGTGGCTATTTTCCTTAAAAAGGATGAGTCGATGCAAATTTTAATTTCATCTTTCCTCCCTTAGCAGTCTCTACAGCTTTCTTAAATGCTTCAATTTGTCCATCTTCATCCTTGAGATTACCAAGATCCTTTATCATTTTTGAAACTTGATTAATACCCACTGAAATTTCTTCTTTAGCCTCTTGCTTGTCTTCTTCTCTTAGTCTCCTAATCCTTTCTATAGACTCCTCTTTTCTAATTGAATTAGCTAACAAACGATGCTTGAAATCATTTTTAGTGCAGACCATAAAGGTTTGTTCCTGAGAAGTCTCTGGATCTTGTAAGCCGATCCAGGATGACCCTTCATAACTGAAAAATTGGACTGCCTCCATTCTATGCAAGAACGGAGTGCCCAAGATACAATAATGGTCCAGTTCTGACACGACAAAGCCCAGTAATTCCACTACCATGTTCCCAACTCTGATAGGCAGATTGTCAATAAATCCTGCCACAAAAAGTTCTCCTGCAATATTACTCAGTACATTTTGTGCAGGCCTATCAATAGATAAGTCACATGCCTCCATTGTTCTTCGAGAAAGAAGTATCATCTCTGCCCCAGAGTCCACCAAGGCTCGGATCTTCACTTGATTAATATAAATGGTCAGGTGCCCACATCCTATGGTTGTGAATCTCATCTTGCAACCTGGATTGTTCACCTGGCTGGAAAAAACTGATCCCAAGTAATTAACTTCTAATTTCTTCTTCTCAGTCAGCTTCTTCAGTTCTCCTCTCAGTTTGGGTGATAGAGTCATTACTTCCTTGAAGGACAAAGTCACTTCTGTCTCTTCCAGCATTTTAGTAATTACGTCAGAAATCACTGTCCCATCTTCCAAATCACTTTTAAGAATAAATTTTATCTTTCTTCCTTGTTCATTCTTTCTATGGGGAAGTTCTGGTTCTGGGTCATCAAGAATATTAATCAGGGATTCCTCAACCTTCCTTCTTTTATTTTCCTCTATCATCTGAGGTGTCAAGTGTGCTTGAAGGTTTCTCACTTCACCAAACACGATACTGGGTTCCATGACAAGTTCTGGAGGTGGGTCTCCATCAAATGACATCATGTTGACCAGAAAGTGAACCATTTCATTAGAAGGAGATTCTACTAAATCAGAAGGGTTCCGAAAAGTAGGATTCTCTTCCAATGGAGACTGACTTGTAGAAGCCTCGCGAGACACATCCTCTGTCAATGTTAAGGATTTCAAATACAGCTCAGTCGTGATATAAGGGTCACTTGTTTCCTGTACTAGTTCATTAGGCAACTCATCAATGAAAAAATGAACATTCACATTAGTCTTTCTCTTCTTCTTCGCCTTCATCTTTTCATCATGTTTAAGAGCAAGAAGTCTCATACCTCCTGGATGTCTGGGGTCCAACTTGTTCCATGAACTATCACAGACATGACCCATTACGTCCTTTTTTGCCACCCCACTCTTTACATCCTCATCAAGAGGCCTGCAATGGGTGGTAGTGTGACCCCCTTCACCACAATAATAGCAAACAAAACTCTTCTTAGGACGGTCATCGTACTTCCTACTTTCTCTGTTCCCTCTGTCACCATTCTTTCCATTCTTTCTGGATCTAGAAGAATCTCCCTTCTTACCATAGCCTTCATCATCATCATCATCATCATCATCATCATCATCCTCTTCACTTTCAGCTTGCTTCTTTCCTTTGCCATTCACAGCATGGTTTGCAGGCATTGCAGACATATAGTTAGCCATCACTCTTTGAATAATATTTTCAGCACTCAGATTGTTCCCTCTGTTCATATCATTCTCAGTCTCCCAGTCTTTGGCCGAAGTACTGATCTGATCCAGTGACCATTTCTTATGAGAAACTGTAGGTAGAATTCTAACAATTGCAACCATTTCATCCCATCTGAGAGGATAGTGCTGAGCTAAATTGAGAACTGTCTGCCTTTCAGTATCAGTAAAATTTGTCAAAAATATATGGCATCTCTGAGTTTCGTCCAAATATGGAATTCTCCTTGCTGTTCGGATGAAGGTCTGAAGAAAAACATTGAAAGTGTCATACTTAGCTCTTCTGATGTTGAGTAAATCCTTGGTTGTAGTTGGAACTGAGTCTTTCTCAAATTCTTTTTTCATTCTCTCTTAGACCTCTTCCCATGTAGTGACACCTTCCATCAATTCCCGAACTGCGAATCTTGAGTCAGTATCACAGTAGGATAGGAGGTGCTTAAGTAGTTGCTTGTCTGTCCAGCCATAACTGAGCCCAAATAATTCATACTCGTCCAGGAAACCATTTACTTGAGGCCTTCTGAAGCATGGAATTCTCTCATCTGGCCTCTTTGCTCTTGCAATGTCTGACCCTCCTTTTATAGTGTCAACTCTCTCGACCAATTCCCATATAACCCCAACCAAGGCCTCTTCATTGGTCCCTGCAGATGAGCTAGGTCTCGAACGACCAGCCATCTTGACCATAATTTTTTCTTAACGCTTTCCTCTTATTTCCTTACCACTCTTAGCCTCTTCCCTTACTTTAATCTCTCACTCTTCTCACAAGGGATACAGGCTCGTTCCTCTCTTCTCTTGTCTGCTCTACCCCTTGAGAATTTTGTACATAAAGAGTATAAGCAATAATAGATTGGGTAGTGATCAAGGGCAATGCAATTCTTCTCAGCCTTCCAATGTAATCTTCTGCAATGAGCCCAGACGTGATGATACTCGTCAACATTACCAGTCCCTATGATTATCGATCTGCTGATGAAATGACAAACAATCGTAATATGTGTGATGATAGAATGAGGTGAGAATCATACACAGACGAAGGAGGAGAGAGGGAGAATAGACAAAGGAGAGAGAAGAAGACAACAGCCCACTTCTACTTCGGGTTCCTCCTCCTCCTCGCCACCTCATCAATCAATAGACTGAATACAATGTCTGAAGTTCCTCCTCAAGGTGCCACGTGGCACGTCAATCTGTCTACATCAGCAAATGGAGAGTATCGTCATCAACCAGGTAGGTATCTTCGATAACCACAGTCTTGATCTCCTTCCGAAGTGACAAAGAATCAGAACAGCCTCATCAACCTCACAGCCAGCCACGTCATCAATCATATACAGGTGGCAGCGGCCACGTCAGCAACGGCGCGTGGCAGCTGCCACGTCAGCATGCCCAGAAGACCATCGCCAGCCAGCACCTTGCCAGCCAGCAGCGCCCTGCTGTCCTCCTCTGCCAGCATATAGCCGGCGTCAAGCCAATGTCGCAATGTCGCAGCATAGCAACAACGTCAAGACCACGCGTGAAATCAGCATTCACGCAAGACTGAATGTTCTCCAGCCAGGAAGTCAACTCTTAAATAGCGTGGATGCGGGGTCTGGACCCCGGGTAGTGAGGTCCTGCACCGTCCAGATCTCGATATGAATGAGGGCCCAGATCGGCCAGAAACTGTATTTCTCCCGCCCTGAATGCTGTCTGGGTACCTGCACACAACAAGTGAATGTATCCGTCCATAGGCCTGGGTACGGTACCTTTGACTCTACAGTTGTCTTTGACTGTTGAATTTCCCTTGTGCTGCGTTTGGTCACACAGCCTCCTCGACAGACTCAGGCTAGGCATGTCTCGGTTACATAGCCCAGCACAGACAACTGAGTCTGTGTCTTACCGGGGGCAAAGTTCTGAGCCCCGGTTTGCTGTTGAACAGGGTTACTGCACTTCAATCAACTCTCTTTCATCATCCCTACTCAATCTTCAATTATACCCTTTTATAGTACCCTAAATTATAAAATATCGAGTCAAGTCTATAATCTCATAATCAAATTGCATTGCTTACAACCCGCTGTTGATCCTTCTTGCAAGAGAGACTCGTTCCCGAGAAGTATGGTATGATATTCTTTCAGCAGTTTTCACTTTCACCACCTTTAATAAATAGTTTATCTTAGTTTGATCAKTGACAATTTTCAGGGCGGAATYTCTCATTCGGTCAAAGAAAGGCTGCAAAAACTCAAGCTCATCCAGGGTAGAAAGGTTTCTGTCAGAGATCCGAAGAGTCTCTTCTACCTTGATTATTCTACCCTCCAACACAACATCTAGTGTCAATTGTTCAGTCAAGTTGGGCATTGCTAAACATCATAAGCAATATCTGAAAGGTAGATCTCAGGTTGAACATAATCAGGGATTTCAAATCTGTGTTCAAAAGTACTCAGAAGCAGGGATTTTATCATCACATTGAAGTCTTTCTCCCTTGCTCTACCAATCTCAACATTCTCTAGCCATTCTTTTGTCCGCTCAAGACTGACATACGCCCCTTTTAAATATTCCAAGTAGTCAACTTCCTCCTCTAGACTGGCAGAGGAGTAAACCCTCACATCCAAGCTGTCGGAGTTCAGAAATTTGACCACAGGAATGTGAAATACTATATGTCCTTCCCCACAAATCTCATGCCTCAAAATTACAAAGGGATTATCATGCCCTGTCACCTCATAAAGTTTGCCCCTCACAGTAGTTATCTAAACTATTGAGAGTATTATTCCTGGGCTCCCTTCACTTTCCATGCAATTTTTATCATGGCAAACCAATTGTTCTCTCTCTCAAGTAGATCCAAGGAAGCATTTGTTCTCTCTCTCAAGTCTCTCTTTCTCTTTTAGTACAACCTCTTCAGCAAATCTCCAGCATCTCCCATATACTGCATCAACACTTCTTTCCTTTGGGACATAGATTCTTACATTATACACATCCAAGTCCATGAAATAGAATGTCAGAACATATAACCATTCCTGCTCCCAACCGCTCTCGACCATCTCATATCTGACAACCTCATACGGAAACACCTCTCTCTTACTTAGAGTGTTTAGTGATTYTAGGAAACACTCAACTTTCTCTTGACTTAGGCCGRAACCTCTACCAAATTTCAGTCTTCTCTGTCTGATTTCCTCCGCTGAAGTCTTTTTAGTTCTCATGACCATCCGTTCTTTTCTCCCACGTGAGTACCATGCTGATAATTGGCAACCAGTTAGTCCCATCACAATAGCTGTCAGGTATAGGAGGGATTGGAACAGTCTCATACGTTACTGGCATCACACCCCATTCCACTTTCTTCTTTTATTTGATCAGATCTGCCTTTTCATCATAGATAAATTGGATCACAATCTTCCATAGCCAATTAAAGTTCTCACCACCGTTCTTGCCTCCTTCTTTGACGTATGGGCGAATATCATAGATATCTCCCTCCAAGAAGTGAGTCAACACTACGCAAATGGTTGAGCCACGGGAGTGATAGCCCCAACAACCCTYATATCGATAAGGAAATATCCCATTGGAGGTGAGTTTGAATAACTCTTTCAGTGCACTGTCGACCAGCATTTGTCTTGATCTGATTCGCCCTCTTTCTTTCAATTCATTCAGTGTGTTGGGAGACAATAGAGCATACCTGATATCAACTCGATTCTCTCCAGCAATTAATACTAGTCTCCTTTTTTCGGCTCAGTTTGGTACCTCACACAAAAAGAGTAGAAACTAGGTTTTCTCAAGAGAATAATAACTCAAGGAAAAGTTYCAAAATGACTCTGAAAAATTCAGAATTTGTCAACAGTTCTCAAGGGCTAATCAAAGCTCAAAGCTGCTTGCTGACCCAGGCTCGTTCCGGACACGAAAAATTTTCATGTCCCCGGCAACTGCGCCATTTTTGTCGCACTTTTTTCCAGTTGGACTGCTTCAGGCGACCGGAAAGCCAACAGGCTGTCACGCAGGATTTTGTTGTAGATTGTARTAAATTAAATAATGCAAATCCCTTCCTGTTGTGTGCGTTCGGCTTCGAGCGAGACCCTTCAATTGCGGTCTTCGCCGGTCCCCGRTCTTAGGAATCTTTTATTTTGATTCGGAACAATTGAGAATCATGCAAATAATAATCATAAAAATTATGGAGTGCTATGCATGCATCAATTGTGACAATCTGATTTTGAGAACTGTGACAGAACCTTTAGAGAAATGCAATCATCAAGCATGGCAATGCAAGAAGCAAGACTGACTGACTTGAGCAATCGCAAAGCAAAATCAGGTGAGGGAGGAATGAGAACTCATAATAGCCTCAGAAAGTACACATGTTGGAAAATGACCAGCACCAGTCAAAAGTCCTCACTCATCCCTCTGAATCTCACACTCAGTTTCTCACTTTGTTGTGCGTTTTCTGAGCCTCGAACCATGTCCCCGTACTTCCTGAGTCAGTGGCCTTTGAATGTAGAGCCACCCGAAACCTGCTAGTTCCGAGCACTTTCATCCAAGTCCCATGATGCGGAAGTCAACCATGGCACAAAACTCCTCCCATAGTGTAGGAAGGTATGGCTGAGAGAAAATCCCCCGTCTGAGGTGCAGGAACTCGGAAGGTTCGGTTATTGCCTCATAGTCTATCACTGCAGGAGAAACGTACCTCTTTGCCAGATCTACCAGGTAGCCCCAGCTAGAGCCATTTGTAAGGTGATAAGGGACCGRAGGTTTGAGGTAGTTTGTAAAGAGCTTGGGGCCAAAGCTGTAGACCAACTTTGAGTCCCTTTGGAGTCTCTCAGCTTTCCATTGCACAAACTTAGCTGCTGCCACCCAAACAACGTCAAAGTGMGGGTGTGTCTCATTCCCTTTCTTCAGATATACCCGCAGGTCCCTGATTGTACCTCCTGCAAATTTTGTAAGAACAACAAAGATTGACAGATCTTCTCGCTTGAAGCCATCAATCTTGACATAACTGTATGGGAAACTTTCCTTTGAGGCTACCTGATTAAGGTTGTCAAGGACCGACTGGTCAACTGAGAT